GTTTTAGGGCACATGTTAATAGGAACTTTTTGGCTTATTTTAATGAGTTATAAACGCAGCAGAAGTTTGGAACCCTATTTTAGAAACACCCTGTATAACACCTATTTTAATGTTTATTCAGTTTTTTAGTATAAGGGGTGGTTTTCATCCCCTAGAAATAAGAAGCGCATATCAAGCATATATGACTTTTCATTTACAGGGTGAAATGAGCTTAATTCCAAATTTTCATAAAAATCGGATCTATCCGAAAGTATTCGGAGGTTTTACTCTATTTTTCTCATTCTTCCCTGGAATAGTTTCAAAGATATCGGGCTCTTCAGTCGGTGAGGGTCAAACTCAAGCGTATTTTAGAGTTTCGAATTATTGTACCGTACACAATGGAACAATTGACTTGGATAAATTATTGTTCCATTGTGTAAGGACTGTAAGGTAATAATTCGAAACTACAATACGCTTGAGTTTGGGCCTCACCGACTGAAGAGTCGAAGAAAATTAGGAAGAAGATAAGCGAAATTAGAAATTAACAATGGGGATTGCTTTGTCAGGGATCTCTAAAAGGGTTGCGCAATTATTTGCAATATATATATATATTCGTAATCAACTGATAGATATAAATATGCGTTTTTAGCTTTTATAAGTTTAAATGATAAATTATATGATAAATCTGTGACTAAAATGTCAAATTTGTAATTCAATTCCAACATTTTTGACAGCCAGCAAACATCATACCCGAAGAATGACAATATCTACCGTTNCAACTGATAGATATAAATATGCGTTTTTAGCTTTTATAAGTTTAAATGATAAATTATATGATAAATCTGTGACTAAAATGTCAAATTTGTAATTCAATTCCAACATTTTTGACAGCCAGCAAACATCATACCCGAAGAATGACAATATCTACCGTTGCACGCGTTTAACTTTACGTTTAGTTCTAGAGCCAAGTGTTTGATCGATAACGGCAAGTTTTCCAATGTAGTATGGGAACAGAGCACAATTATACCGGTTTCACCGTACATCTGATAAAAGACACAGATGCAAGCGACAAACGCGATATTGAAGAATTATTGAAACCCGTTGACGCGCTAGAATTGGATTCTGATAGTGATTACAGTGTCATAAGTGACATATTTGAGGAATTTCACAAGGACAGCTTCCTGAGGCCTGGTGCAGACCCTTGCAAGAAACACCTGTCGAAAACTGAGGCTGACTGGAAAACCGTTGAAAGATTTACCGACGATTTTAAGAAGACTATGGTTGAAGTAAGAAAAGAACAGCAGGCAAGTAGGCACTACTTTTACCAAGGAATTTTTTCCAAAAGGTTTCTACGAAAGACAATTTTGGTAATTCCACTTTTCAGGTGGGTCGTCCCCTATTCGAGGAAGAAGAATCCATTGAAAAAATCCTCAACAAACCTATTGAAGCGAAGAAATCGATCACACCACCAACCAGAGGCTCCCCAATCATCGTCGAACAAGAAAGAGACCAAAGAAGCGAAGCCAGTTCCGAATCTCTGGTGTGGCAGAGACTTTTGAATAACAGCGAAGGTCGTTTCAAGGTCAGTCCTCCAGTTTTTGATGCCTTTAGACAGGAGGAGAAGCACTGGTTGGAACGGCCTCCGATGTCATGGAAACTGGTCGATGACTGTCGAGTTAAGTGCGATAGATGGCTTGATGACGTCATGCAAGTAGGCGGGGGACACTGAATAATTTTAAAGAGACTCGCTTGTAACTGTAAGACACTATTTTTATAAAAAAAAATAGCTGAATTGTTTAATTTAGAGTGTAGCAACATTTTTGACATTATTTCTTTTGTAAATTAACAGTTTATTTGACTGGAGATATATAACATCAAAAAAATTGTTGTGTTCTCTTTAAAATATCGGAGATAAACAATCGGTAGGTACTGGAAGACACTCAGTGCGGTCAATTTTGTATCAGTATTTATATCAGTTGCTAACCAAAAAAAATGGCTGTACATATTACTAACATTGCAACCAACAAATGCCAGCAAATAAGAAATTATACCAATGTCGTGTATATCTTGAAGCGAATCCTATCACTGTGATTTGTTTAGCACAAATTTACTCATAACCAGGATGGTACCACGCACAGCACTTAATAAGTCTACAAAAAACGTAAAAATTATCACTTAATTACCACACCAATTGAAAATAATCGTTACCACTTTACAATTTACTTTATGTATGTATTTGTAATATAGGTACTATAGAAGTTTGATCGGTTTAAAGTGCTTAGTTTTGAAAAAAGTTGAGCTTGAAGTGAAAAGAGAATTTTTGTATTCTTTTTCTTTCTTCAAAAAAACTATTAATGATACGCAAAATTTTGTAGAGTACAAAATTGTAGGTTTTGCTTTTTTGATTTTTTTTTTCTGTAGAATAAAAATTAAGTAAGATATGACTGTTTAAAGTTTGCATATGTTCGTAAATAGCAACTTGTTCAAGCCCTTTCAGCTCAAACCCTTACAAAAATAAGGGCTGAAAGAAAATTTAACTTATTTGATCATATAGCCCTTGAAAAACCCTACAAAATGGTTTTTTGAAGGGCTTGACAGCACAAAAACTAAGCGAGTTGTGGGTAAAAAACCAATCACATATTTTTGCAGATATCAGAACACGTATATTGAAATATTAATGAATACACATTACAGCTATATTTTAAGAATAGAAATAGGAATTTTAGGAATAGAAATAGGAATTTTAGGAATAGAATAGAAAAGGATGACGAGAATGAAGAAGATTTTTGATTATTTATGTTATTTGCATTAAAAAAAAAACTGTTATAAAAATAAAAATCCATATAAAAATAAAATTCTTATTTTCCCTATTTTTGATTGCAAATTTTAATTAGTAAGGTTTTTTTTTAAGGTTTGATAANAACTGAAAAACTATTAATGATACGCAAAATTTTGTAGAGTACAAAATTGTAGGTTTTGTTTTTTTGATTTTTTTTTTCTGTAGAATAAAAATTAAGTAAGATATGACTGTTTAAAGTTTGCATATGTTCGTAAATAGCAACTTGTTCAAGCCCTTTCAGCTCAAACCCTTACAAAAATAAGGGCTGAAAGAAAATTTAACTTATTTGATCATATAGCCCTTGAAAAACCCTACAAAATGGTTTTTTGAAGGGCTTGACAGCACAAAAACTAAGCGAGTTGTGGGTAAAAAACCAATCACATATTTTTGCAGATATCAGAACACGTATATTGAAATATTAATGAATACACATTACAGCTATATTTTAAGAATAGAAATAGGAATTTTAGGAATAGAAATAGGAATTTTAGGAATAGAATAGAAAAGGATGACGAGAATGAAGAAGATTTTTGATTATTTATGTTATTTGCATTAAAAAAAAAACTGTTATAAAAATAAAAATCCATATAAAAATAAAATTCTTATTTTCCCTATTTTTGATTGCAAATTTTAATTAGTAAGGTTTTTTTTTAAGGTTTGATAAAATAAATACATTGCATTTTAAATAATAAAAAGATTGTATTATATTTTGAACTAAATATTTGTGACGTCATCGTTATTCGAGATATGACGTCATCGATAATTTTTTTAAATAGCAACCCCCAATTTTGACCATGCCATTTGAAAGAGCGTGTCATTCTACATACACAGATCATGAAAAATTATGGTGGTACATAACAAAAATTTCAAGAAAATAATGTTTGAAAATTTTAAAATTTAATTTTCACAATACTGAAAATGATAAGGATTATGTAAAAATCGACTAAATTAAATGTTCAAATTGTACACCGTTGGCTGCCCGACAGTAGCCAAGACGATTAATAAATTCTT